GATCCAAGTATGACGGCCTTCTGCATTCCACCAGCCAGGATGTGTGCCTTATCGCTGCACGCTGGGAAAACTCGATCACGAACATCGCTTTGGTTCGATGGTCGAGGAGGACTACATCAGGCTTGTTAGCTTGAATTCGCCTGAGGGTGGGTAATGAGAAGTTCCAATAAATTCGGCACCTCTCATTCTCCACTACGGACTCAATATCCCCCGGAGCATAGGGCATCACTGGGGTCTCGTCTATTCCGTACGAGTGCCTCAAATAGTAGTAGAGCACTCGCAATGCCGCATTGTGTCTATGGATATAGGCCGAGACTGCACACCGTGCAAGAAGCCAGCAGGTGCATAATTGTCTTGGGCGTCCTGCGGCAGGCCCTGCAACTTGTGTCAGGGACCTCCATACCCATGACACGGCTACGGTAGACGAGAGTGTTAAAAACCCCATCCTGGCATGCCATGATGAACCCCTCTGTTCCCGATTTGAGCCCGCCTGACTTGAGAAAAGCAAAAGTCAGTTCTCTGGATAAGCCCTGGTCTTCACTGGTCTGGAAGAAGACCGAATGCATGGGCTTATCCATGTGAAGTTGCAGGAGCTTTCTCACTTCTGTAGCTTTGATGCGGGCCTTCCTCCGAGAAGGCTCTAGCTCAGTGACTGAGTCCTGAGCCTCGCGCTCGGAGTCGAAAATCAGAGACAATTCATCGGCTGCTCGACAAGCTGCCCTAAAAGAAAAGCTCCTACCCCTGCCTCTTGGGTTTTAACCATTTGCAGGAGTGGATCCAAACTCCTGATGACTTTGCAGACGCCATCCAGAACCATTCTGTTATGGAGATACTCCAAGCTCAAGAGTCCACGGCCACCCTGGTCTCTAGGTATGTATAACTGTGGAACGGACGAATTCGGATGCAGACTCCTATGGAGATGCATCTCACTATAGAATCGGGTACCGAAAGGCACTTGAGCAAGTACTCGAGTAACTCATGTGACGTTGTGTCAAATGCCTTTCGGTAATCGATCCAGGCCACAGAGAGATTTCGCTTGTACTGCACAGAGTCCTGTGTAATAGATCTATCTATCAACAGGTTCTCCTTGCAGCCAGCCACACCTCTTTTTGACCCACGCTGCTCGAAAATCCGTTGGTAAACCGGATCAACTACTAGGAGTACTCGCATGTACAAGATGCGAGTGAACAACTTGTAACATGAATTCAGGCAGGTAATTGGTCTGTAATTCTTTGGATTGGACAAATCTCCAGTCTTGGGGAGGAGCACGGTTCGCCCCTTGATAAACCACTCAGAGGGATTTGCTGCTCCCCATTTAGCCAGCTATTGAATATCCTGGCTAAATGGTGGTGGGTACAGGAGAACTTTTTCCACCAGAAGTTATTGATCCCGTCGGGACCAGGAGCAGCAAAGTTCTTGGAGCCTTTGAGGGCTTCTCGAACCTCCTCAGTGATTATCGGTTGGCGCAGTAATTCGGGCTCAGGCTCTCGGTATCTTTCGCAAAAGGTACCGAACTGCGCCAGGGCTGGAGTATCTCTGTTGAATGGATGCCTCACCTCGTAAATACTCTTCCAGAAGGTTTCCACCTGATCAGCAGTCGGCGGATTGTCCACAACACTTGGAGGCGGTTGAAATAAGCGAAAATGCTTCTCGCGGAATTGTTTATTTTCCGCCAGCCCTCTCGCTCGCCTCTTCAGTGACTGTTTTGCAGCCACTAACATCCGTATCCTTTCGAGGCGATGCTGTTTGATGGTGGATAGCACTGCCTCATTTAGTGTGTGATGGGTGCGACGTAATTTAGTGGCCATCCGTCGCACCTTCGATGTGAATGGCCTGTTGGCACTCACATAATCCATCACACACTGGATACGGGAAGTGTGTTGTCTCGCCGACTGGATCTTGGCTTCTATCTTTTGTACACGCCGTTCGGCCCTCTCAATCGGTGAGACCGTTTGTATAGGTCTCTCCGGCAGAGAGGACCGAACCACGTCATACACGGCACAATTGATGTGCCAGATGTCAGCCCCTTCCGGAAGTGTTTCCCGAAGCGATTCATCCATCCTTGCAAGGTCTCGGGTCCGCAGGGCCTTAATGTTGAGTAGGCTCCTGCTATTATAATTATTATTATTATTATTATTTTTTTTGACAAAGAGCTTCAACTGCAATGGTTATTTCGCTCTCCATAAATAGGATACTGGTCACAGCTTATGGGAAATTTCTGAGTCTTTCAAGTAGGTGAGTAACTTTTTAATATTTTCTTCCTTATTTCCCAATGCTACTTCTATTTCAGGTCGGAGTGAGCAGTTATTTCTGTGAGGTTGGAAGTTCCGGCAGTTCAAGAGGTGTTGGGCCAAGAGGTACGTTCTGCAAGTTTCACATCTTGGTCGTACTGATCCTGCCAGGAGATACCAGTGAGTGACATTCGTGTGGCCTATTCTCATTCGGCATAGTGCCACTTGTTCCCTTCTATGGAGGAATTTTGGGAAACACCACTTTCTGATATCGGGTTTTATTGTCTTGAGTTGCCCCTCATAGGAATTTCATTGATTTTGCCATATTTCATAAAATCGATTTTTGACTGAGGCCTTTATATCATCGAATATTGTTGGAATTCCTTCATCTACCGCTACGCTAGTGGCGTTCTTAGCTTCGGTGTCAGCCCTTTCATTTCCATTGATATTGCAATGTCCTGGGATCCATAAAACTGACATATGTTTTCCTTGATGTTGGAGGTGGGAGGTTAATTCTAGGATTCTCACTACCCAAAAATTTGTTGAGAAAATGTCTTGGAGAGATGTCACGGCACTGAGGGAGTCCGAGCAGATTACACATTGTTCCTCTTCACTGGAGGAAAAGAACAGGAGCGCTTGCCATATAGCGTATAATTCTGCATTGGAAATGGAGCTGTCAGGGGGCAAAGACCACGAGAAAGTGTTGGAGTTTACCGCGATGTCTGCGCCAGTTCCTTCGTTGGTTTTAGAGCCGTCTGTGTAGATTACAAGGTGCTGTTCATAGTAGGATAATTTTTCGGCAAAAAGAGAGCGGTAGACTGAGGAAGGCGTGTTTTCCTTCTTGAAATCACTCAGAGCAATATCGACACGAGGTGGTCTCCTTTTCCAAGGGGCAAGGTCATGGCCGGCTACTGCGACGTTTGTTTCCATGGGAAAAGAGTGACATTCTGCGAGCTTTATATATCGAATGTTTGCTGGTCTGGTTATCGTGGGACGGTGGGCGTAGGGGTTTTCCTGATCTTGAAACATGGCATGATTCAAATTGCGCGGTAGGGACTGGATCTTTTTAGCGTACGTGATTGTTTGCATATCCCTTCGTAGTCTCAAAGGTAAACAGTTTGATTCGCAGAGAAGGGCTTCAATTGGGCTCGTTCTGAAAGCACCTGTTGCAAGGCGAATGGCTTCAGATTGAATCCTGTCAAGGCGTTTGAGGTTCGATGGACGGGCTGATCCGTAAACAATGCTTCCATAATCTATTTTCGTCTCTATTAAGGAATGGTACATCCTCAAGAAACAATAAATATATTATTATTATTATTATTTGAGTTCAAATAATTCCAGTCACGACCCTGCGGCCTCCGACGTCACGCAGAATCGTGCTGGAAAAAATCCAGTGACTACTCCTCACAGCCTGTGAGGTGAATAATCACTGGGACCAAGTACCGTGTGCCCTGAGTAGACGCAATGATCCTAGTATGACGGCCTTCTGCATTCCACAGCCAGGATGTGTGCCTTATCATGGCACGCTGGGATTTTCTGAATCTCCGAGAGCAGCGTGTGTCGTGTGCCTCCTAGGGAGCCGATAATCAGGATGACCGATTCCACAGAATGGTCTGGATAGAGCCTGCGGAGTTCGAAGAGCAGATCTCGATATTTAGTCCGTTTTTCCTCCTCCTTCAAAACGATGTTCGGTTCGGCTGGCACCGAAAACTCGATCACGAACATCGCTTTGGTTTGATGGTCGAGGAGGACTACATCAGGCTTGTTAGCTTGTAATTGCCTGAGGGTGGGGAATGAGAAGTTCCAATAAATTCGACACCTCTCATTCTCCACAACGGACTCAATATCCCCCGGAGCATAGGGCAGCACTGGGGTCTCGTCTATTCCGTACCAGTGCCTCAAGTGATAATAGAGCACTCGCAATGCCGCGTTGTGTCTATGGATATAGGCCGAGACTGCATACACCGTGCAAGAAGACAGCAGGTGCATAATTGTCTCGGGCGCCCTGCGGCAGGCCCTGCAACTTGTGTCAGGGACCTCCATACCCATGACATGGCTACGGTAGACGAGAGTGTTCAAAACCCCATCCTGGCATGCCATGATGAACCCCTCTGTTTCCGATTTAAGCCCGCCTGAGAAAAGCGAAAGTCAGTTCTTTGGATAAGACATTACTTATTTTAACTCATCTTCTTTTGACTTTAAATTATTCAAAATGTATTCTATTCACTTGAAGGATACTCTATATTTATTTACTTTTGCTAAGTCTCACGCTAGTGATTATAATTGTAACATGTTAAAAATATGGCTATCTCTTAAAATTTTGATGTAATTGCTATTATTTGTAATCTGTAACTGGATTTATTCTGTTGATTACACAATAAATGAAAAATACAATATCTGAAAACACCCCCACTTCAGCAAAATTTATATTTTATATTTATTAGATTTGTGAGAATGTTGTATGTATGTTTGTAATAGCTTAGGTATATATTTTATTTTATTCTGTAATTGTTTTTGATTTGTACTTTCAGTGACTGGCCAAAAAATAAGAATTGTAACTGGGTCAAATAAAATTCTATCCTATTTTATAGACCAATTCATGAGCTAGAAAGTTTGTAGAATTCTGAAAAAACAATACCAACAGATTTTCTTGAAAAGAAATCATATTTTAGCAAGGGGCATGACAATCCCTGAAATTCTAAAACCACTTCGGGAAAACACATTGTGTACTGTTGAGTGAGAAGTCACACGAAATAATATTTAAATTACCCAGCATATGAAAATCCAACAGGTGCCTTCTTCAGTCGGCTACAGATGATAATATCAGTAACAGCAGTTCTTATATTGTTTTTATTGACCAAACGGTAACAAATTTGCTTCCTCTTCCAAGCTCTTTCTTCACTATCTGCAGTCTTATTCAACAAACTGAACCCTTGTGGCGGGTTAGTTTTATCAGCAAGCACTAGTATTTCTTGAATAACAAAGTTGGGTAGTCCTATAACCACGAAATGGTTCAATTACAAGCCCATAACTGCATTATCGAGCCTTACCTTCAGTTTTTGACAAACAGAGATATCTAGCAGAACTGATCTTGAAAATTGAGTTTTCTCTTAAATCAGCGTCAGAATCTTGGTCGTAGGTTTTGTTTATCACATAGAAACCTCTAGGACACTTGTCTAAATCCTCTATTATCTGAAAGAAAATTGAAATATATAAATAGGCAGCTAGATATTAATATTATATATATATATTAATAGTCATTCAGTTCTAATCAGGACCAGGTGAATAACCTAACTAACCTAACGAGCGACCCCAATAACTCAACTACATCGTGAAACATCCTGGTATATGCCCATCTTAAACATATCTACCCAACAGGGTTTTTACAAACCCCAGTGCGATACAGCCGTGTCGTACTTGTGTGGAGAATATTTTCTTATTCTCTTGGAGCGCACAAAACGACATTCCTATAATGTTCGAAGAACATCGTGCGTACCTAGGGAGGATAGGGTTGAATAAGAAAGCGAAGCCATTCTTACTTAGTGTGATGACCCCAAGTGGTTAATTGTATTGAATATACGATGTTCGAAGGTTTTTGATGATTTATTAAAAATGATGAGTATTTCTTGATGATGTTTCTCTTTTGACTAGTCAATCAATAATAATTTCTTGGATACCACTAAATATAACAAAATACGCATACATTATACAGGTAGATACATTACATTTCCTCATCCCTAAAATTGATATATAAATATTTTCCAAAAATAATCTCATTCCATAAATATAGCCAATAATTTCACAATCCAATTATTGTTTTTTTCAATCAACTTAAGATATCCAGGAAATCTAGTCAGCTCGGTCATATGCTGATACAATGTATACAAATATTGTCCCCTGTGAAACACAAATGTTACTTTAACATAAAAAAAATAAGCCTACCGAACTGTCGAAGAATTTGCAACAGATTGGTGAGAAAATGATGGAGTTGGTTCCTCAGAGGCACCTACTTTAGGAACAAATTTGATTTGATCCAAATGTCTTTTCCATACTGTATTATCATTCAGTTTACATAAGTAATTCCTATCCCCAACCACTTCGATGATAATAGCATCTATCCATGATTTATTATTACACTTCCTGTAGTCCCGTACTATCACTTCATCCATTCAATTTGGTGAAAACTTTTCTGATATTCTGTTTATGTTCCAATCTAGTTTTACCTGTAACAATGATATCATCAAGAAAATTAGCTACCCCATCTATGCCTTTCAATAGTATTTCCAAAGTTCTCTGGAATATACCACTAGCAGGTGAAATTCCAAATGGAACACGATTCACCCTGTATAATCCGCGATGTGTATTCCAGGCAACAATCTTAGCAGATTCTTCATCTAAGCAAAGTTGATTGTAAGCATTGCTTAGATCAATTTTGGAAAATGATTCGCCCCCACTTAATTGTGCGAATATTTCCTCAACCCTCGGTAATGGATATTTCACTTCGGCTAAATACTTATTTGCTGTTATTTTAGAATCCCCACAGAGCCTGATTGAACCATCTGGTTTAAGAATAGGAACTAGATGTGTTCCCCATTCACTTGAATCAATAGGACTAATTACACCATCTCTCTCCAATCTGTTTAATTCTGAATCAACTTTTTCTCTGAAAGCTATCGGAATCGGTCGAGAATTGCGAAAAATTGGTTGGAAATTTTCTTTCAACTTCAAATGAAAAACTTGATATTTATAACAACCTAGACTATTGTCGAATATTTCGTGAAATTCATTCAACAAAGAAGACATATTATTTTGTATGTTAAGAACATCAGAAGTGAGTTTGAAATTGAATTTTGATAAAAAATCTCTTCCTAACAAATTTTGACTGACATTTCCATTTTTTATGACATATAAAATGAAATCTTGACAAATTCTGTCGTTATATGATAAATTCACTTTGATAAACCCCAACGGTTTAATCAGACATCCCGAAAAACTTCTCAAGCTCATTTTACTTTCATTCAACCTACAGTCGGACAAATATTTGTTATGACATTGATCAGATATTACCGAAACTGCTGCACCAGTATCCAATTGCATAGGAATTTGAACATCATTCGCTGAAATATTAAGGTTGATTGGACTACAATCGTTAAAATCAATGTTATATATTTCAACTGCATCTTCTTCAAGTTCTTCTGCAACAGACTGACCACCTTCAACTTCCAAAGAATTCTGTTTGTTCAGTTTCATCCAACAAGCTCTTGATAAGTGACCAACTTTCTTGCATAGATTACAAGTATACGAAGAGTATTTACATTTTTGGTTCCCAGTATGAAAAAGCCCACATGATTTACATTTCCAACGTCCTGTTCCTGCTTGGTTACCTTGTACAGTATCCGACATTATCCGTGAATTGTTAGTATTCGAAGATCTTCTGATATTTCCCACGATTTTATTGTTCAACAAATTCACACTAGCTGCACTGCTGCTACCAGTTATTGAGGTTTCCTTCAGAAGTGCCAATTCTAATAGTCTGTCGAGATTAGTATCGAGTTTTTCTTCACATAATCTATCTCTTATCGTGCCTTTCTTCATTGAACATACGAATTTATTTTTCAGATAACATTTCAGGTTGGCCCCAAATTCACAATTGTTGGAAAGGTTGTGAATCCTTGCATACCATGCATTCACATTTTCGTTTTCTTCTTGACTTGCCTCGAAAAATTTGATTCTCTCCTTGTAGACGGACGTCACCGGACAAAAATGAGTTTTCAACAATTTACATATATCTTCATACTCCTTATCCTTAGGTAAATCCGGTGTGCAAAGGTCTCTTAGAATGCGGTAAGTATCAGATCCGATGAGACTTAGTAAAGCTGAGACTCTTCGTGCATTACCAGCTACATCTCTAATTCCATTTATACTGAAGAACATCTCAAGTTGTTCTTGGTATAGAGTCCAATTATCGTGACTAGGATTGAATTCTCTTATACTTCCAATTGTAGCCATGATTCAATTTCCAATTTGCCTCGTCGCCAATGTGATGACCCCAAGTGGTTAATTGTATTGAATATACGATGTTCGAAGGTTTTTGATGATTTATTAAAAATGATGAGTATTTCTTGATGATGTTTCTCTTTTGACTAGTCAATCAATAATAATTTCTTGGATACCACTAAATATAACAAAATACGCATACATTATACAGGTAGATACATTACACTTAGTATCGCCCCACAGTCTCACCCGAGCATATTAATATTGAACGTTGAGCGTTCCAGAAGAAAATGACGATTACGGTTGTTATTTGCGGGCTCTGTAATGAAAATATCCCAATAACTGAATATAAAATTCTCTGTGAAGGTTGTAAGAAATATTTCCCCGCCAAGTGTGCTACTACTAGTGAAGGTGATATAACAGGTCTGCAAGCCCGAAGAAAATAATTTACCTGTAAAAATTGCAATACCAGCCCAAAAATAACCATACTGATTGTGAGAACTCAATCAGTACAATTAGTTCAAATGAACCATCCGAATCATTACGCATACCTACTCATCATGGAATGAAAATGGAAATGAGTGAGGAGAAAAATCCGGTGATTTCATGTCAACAAAGTAATTTTAGAAATGCTTAGCGAAGACAAAAAAGAAAATGCACATTTGAAGGCAGTTTCGGAAAGCCTTTCTTATATATTTGAAATTAATATAGTTTGATCGCGCTTCTATTAGTTGCACTAAAACGACCTATTTACCTGGTGGCGCTGCCCTACATCAATTTCCGGATGAGCTTATACACCGAATTTAGTAGTTAATTGATAGTGGTCAGGAGACATTAACGCTCATCGAGATTCTGCTCCCACGTGACACCCGGTTGGTGCACATATGTAATTAAACCTTGCTTTGCTTTGCTCTATTGAATGCTTATTGTTGGCTTATGAACTTCTGCTACTCAGCTATTGTGCAGTAACGGTTTTGACTTGCGACTTTAGGTGAATTGTGCATGGGTATACATGGTATTAGCTGCCGACCCAGTTACCACGAGGTACTGACCAAGAGCAGCCCTATGAGACACCAGAGACAGTTTGGCACCAAGATATCTCCAGACCTGTCCCATAAGGTCAAGTCGTTACATAGTGCACCTCGCTTGTATAAATATATAATTTTTTTTAATTCTTTCAATTTTGGATAAAGTACATTTTTCGAAACCACAGAGGCTATCGAATTCATTCATTGGTCCTTTGAGTCGAATTATCGTGTCAATTTTGAACAAATTTGTTTTTTTGGGCTTCGAAAAACTCAAAATATATATTTTCTTTGAAGTGGTTTTTGACTGAATGACGATAGAACATCATCATTTCAACTTGAATCATCGATTTTCCGTCTGAAAACTTCGTTATCGGATTTAATTGCATCGGTAAAGAAGCGAGATCGGTGCGATCGGTCGATTTGGCTCATGCGTGGTGTTCGCCAGTATTCAGTCTCCCGCGATTCTCAATCGAAAAATAACCTATAGGACATTCCTCTGTGAATGAGAAAATCAGTATTTCATTATTTCTTTTTCGAAATAATATGGAAAATGTAAAATGTCTTATAAATTTTGGAGTATTTTTCCGCTCATCTCACCTATTCTATAGAAATGGCGGTATGACGAAGCAAATGTGTTTTTTGTTGGCTCAACTTGGCATGGATAAAATGAGTCTATATATAGTAAAAATCACCATTTGTTGGACTATAGGTACTAAAAACATCGTTTATAACATTCCAGCACTTCCCTGTGTTCGAAGAATTAGAGAAAATCTATCAACTGAGTAGATATAACATAGTTGCTTTGTTGATTCCATGATACCTATATTATAGGTCTCGACTGTGAAGATAAGACGGAAGCTCTCAAGATTCTCAGCGACATTTTAGGAACTGAACTCGATTTTCCTCACATCAATAACATTTACTTTTTTCCAACCAAAACGGATAAAAAAGTCTTGAAAATCGAACTACTATCTTATATCAAGAAACTGGAGATACTGAAAAACTCATTCAAACTCAAAGACAAGAACATATTCGTCTCAAACGACTTGAGTATCGAGGATCAGGCTATTCACAAAGATCTGAGAAGACACCTCAATACCGCTAAACGAAACGATATCAAAGCCACCATCAGAGATCTCCATCTCGTCATAAATAGTACGAAATATT